GAGGGAAAGTGACAAATCGCTGGGGTGCCCTAGGGGGATGGCCACACAACAATCCCTTCTCCTTCGTTTTCCTCCTGGGATTTTAGGGAAGAAAGGCACAGGGCCCCTTTGTATTCGAACTAAGCATTTAGAATCCATCACCATAAGGTCTATACTACCTGCTGGTCCCTGGATTCTTTGCTCTTAATGACATCTTTTACCCTAAGATAGGATAGGGTAGGTGGCACTGTCAAGTAGGATTTTTGTTTTGTTTTTGGAGAAGTTTTGCTATAGGGTGCAAGCGCTCGCCAGAGAGCGACAGAGAGAAAGAAAGGGAGAAACCACCCCCCAGGGGGATGGCCAGTGCAATCCTTTCTCCTCCATTCTCCTCTCGGGATCTTGGGCATGCACGCACACGTGCCTGGCTTGAGCTTAAGCCACTGGGTCTGGGACTTGAACCACGGTCAACTACGCGGGAGTCCAGTGACATAGCCATTATGCCAACTGCTGGTCCCCACACCACTAGACTTCCGAGCACCATGCTTGGTGATGTTTCTGGTGGAGGATGGCTTGGGAAAACACCAAGTACTATTTGATGACAGAGCTGAGGCTGGGCACTGCAGAGGAAAGAGCCTTCCCGAGGCACAGAACTCGGCTTTGAGGAATAGCAGTAAATGTTTTCTGAGGACTGGAGGGTATCTGAACAGCGGGGACTGTCCTGGAGATGCTTGGGGCTGCGGTTTCCAGAGTCGTACCTAGATTTGTTCTCTGAATATAGCTGGATTCATTCGAAAGCCCACTAACGGGCACTTTGGAGTTTGTGAAGCGATGGTCGGGGTTGTGAAAGCCCACTTTCGTCCTTGGACAAGGAAGGGACTGAGGTCACACGTTGGGAAGAGACAAAGCGGGCGGGCGGTGTGACATCAGTCTTGTTGTTTGTGTTTTTTTTGTTTGTTTGTTTTTGGAGAGGTTTTTGCTATAGGGTGTGTGCACTCACCAGAAAGACAGAGAGAGACAGAGAGACAGAAAGCAAGAAATCACCCCCCAGGGGGGATGGCCACGCCGCAATCCCTTCTCCTCCATTCTCCTCTCAGGATCTTGGGCATGCACGCACACGTGCCCGGCGTGAGTTTAAGCTGCCGGGTCTGGGACTCGAACCGTAGGCAATTCCATGAGAGTCCAACAATGTAGCCATTATGCCATCTGCTGGTCCCCAGTCTTCTTCTTCTATTTTTTTTTTTTTTTTGCTGAAGGCTGCCCTCGGGGCATTCAGCTCACCCACTGGCTTGGTTTGTCATGCCTCCGGGGATGACTGGAAGGAGGAACTGACTCTGTGGATGGCTAAAAGTACAGGAAGTAGTTTGTTGGATCGAGTCCTGTCTGCTTGCTTTTCTTTCATCCCAGCAGAGGCCTAAGGATCAGGCTCTGTCTTAGCACCAGGGCCAGGCACCCTAAGGATAGGGACATGCATTCAATAGTCATGAGCTCACCTCTGACCAAGACCAATGTGTTGGCCCCCAGTTTGTGCTGAGGGAGCCCCCCTCAACCCCGCTAGGGTGTGAAGTTGGCCTGTGGGTAGGAAGAGGTGGTTTTGGCACTGTCCTGGCCTTATCCTCGGGAGACCTTTGATCGGTCTTTGAACACTTGCTAAGGGAGTGAGTGTTAAGGAGTAATTAGGAAGATCCTGGAAGTCTTGGCTTTAGTAGGGGTGCCCCAGGTTACCGGTAGGGACTGAACTGTGCACCACATGGCTGTCCTTAGGGAGCCTCTCTCCTCAGGTGCCAGGGTTAAGGTGGGGCAACGGTCAGATTCTGGCCCCGGCCCAGCTGTCAAGGAACAGCTGGGACAATCGATTTGATGTTGGGGAGAGAGAGCAGGCAGTGCGTGAAATGTGGTGCGTGCTGTGTTGGGGTTCCCTAGGACTGAGGGACAGCGCCGTTCTGGGACAGTTGGACAGCAGGATGATGTGGCCGGGCCGGGGAGGGGGTGGTCCGCGTGGTTGGGCATCAGTTTTCTTCCAGGATCCCTGACTCAGAGCCACGTGCTTCACGAACTAAATCCCTCCAGCTCGGAGGAAAAGACTTCTGGATAGATAATGGGGCACGGTCCCGGGCTAGGTTGTAGTTCAGCCGGTTGGGGCTCCGGGAGTCTGGGTGCTGTTCAGGTGAATGCATGCGGTCGAAGACTTTCCGTGCTAACTGTAGGGATGTCCTGGGCCGGGCTGGAGCGGCAGCTGGAGGCCCCTTGGTGCGTG